TGGAGACAGATGGAGGTGGCTGGACTGTCATCCAAAGACGTAAAGTTGGTTTGACATCATTCAATAGAGACTGGAAACAATACAGGGAAGGATTTGGCAATATTAGGGGAGATTTTTGGCTGGGAAATGAAAATATCTACCGACTTTCAAGACGCCCCACTGTTCTGCGAGTAGAGTTGGAGGTAATCAATAAACTCTTAATTTCAGCAGCAAATTTTTTGATTCCCCAGTACCAGATAACGTCTCCTATCTCTATAGGAGGTCCAAAGAATTTGCATGCTTTAATTACAGGAGAAGGAAGTAGGATCAACCTGGGAATACATTCAAACACAAGGCAGAAGCATGTTCTCCCCTGTGCAAAGTCAGTGGCACAACCTTGTGTCTGCACACACATTGTGTCTTCAGAACACGTGGGGTTTTTGGAAGTCCTGCAGAAGGCACTGTAGACAAAGATCAAACTGCTGATCATCTCAAATTTAAAATTTAAAAAAGAGATGTCCCATAAAGTTTGCAAGCCACTGAGGCTTTTCATTTTGCAGCACTTCCTTCCAGCCTGGGTACAAGAGTTTGCATTGTATTACCCTCAGTTTCTTCAGTCTGTTAAAGGTTGGGTTTGATTTAGACTAGTTTATAGTTGGTACAATAACTCTGAGGGGTGGGATGTGTATAAACTGAAAGGCTTAATATCTAAAAGTCACTATTTCAGAGAGGAAAAAAGTTACTTGAGGCAGCACACTGACACAAGGATATTGAATATTAGAGCTGCACATGAGGTTTCCTACATATTGTACAATAGCAGTGCAGAGAAGACTTGGAAGTTTCATGCTTTGCTCTGGAATGTTCCTTTGCCTTAACAGAGCATTTTCACAGTCTGAGACAGTAAAAATATATGTATATAATCACAGATGTAATCATAACCATTCTAATAGACCTGATTCCTTCTCCCCTGTTCTGTGCAGGACTGGGAAGGCAACACTCGCTATGCCCAGTACCGGCAATTCACCCTGAGCAATGAAATCAACAGCTACCGGCTGTTTGTGGGGAATTACAGCGGCAACACCGCGCGGGATTCCCTGCGCTACCACAACAACACCGCCTTCAGCACAAAGGACAAGGACAACGACAAGTGTGTGGATGACTGTGCCCAGTTCCGTAAAGGTAAAACACACAAATTCCCTCCTGTCTGTAGGAGACGCTTTCTGGGGACGGTCAGAGACACGGCAAAGACCTCTATAATCGAGTTAAGTGTTAGAAGTTTATTTCAGGGCGTGGGGTAGAGAGAGAGAGAGAGCCTGCTATGAGCCAACAGATAGAGCTCAAGGTGGGCTCAGGGAGAGCAATACAAAAGAGGGTAAGATACGAATACATGAGTTTAAGACTTAAGATTTCTACAAAAGAGAGTTACAGAACATAACAGAAGTGAGAGAGCCGGAAAAAGAGAGAGAGAGACCGAGCTCTTCTATACCACTACTTATATAACCTATACCTTTGAATATTCTATTCCTTTACTAACCAATCTTTCTAAGTATACTAATATAGTAACATTTGTGTACAACCTATAGAAATCGCTATTTTTGCATATTTTTAGTTATCTCAGGGTCCTTCAGACCTTTCCTTATAAGGCTGGGATGAGGGGTCTCAGCTTGGTTTTATTGCAGGAAAGAATGTGTTCTGGCATACCAGCCCGGTTTCTTTGAATTATTCAAACCGTGCTATCATTTGTATTTCTTCCTTAGCCTTTCTGGCTACAAAGTCATATTTATAATTTCTTTCTAATTCTACCTTCCCAACACCTGTCCCCAGAGAGCTGCTGGGGTCAGTTGTAGAGAGCTCAACATTCCTTCTTTCCATGCAATTAGTGACATCTGAATGGCAAATCAAGAGAGAGGTGACCAATTCTGGAAAATACGCTTGTGTGGGAAATCTGGCTGTTAAAGGTGATTTGTAAAGAGCCAGATTGTGCAGATATCAGTACTCTGAAATAACTGTGTGCTCTCACCTACAGTTACCCAGCTCATTATGTCTGCCAGACTATCTCACATGCTGATACAATACACTGATACAGGAAGTTATTCCTTAATATCAGGTTCTTACTTTTTCTTATATTTTTGTAAGTTTTCAAGTCCTAGTATTAGGCACCTGAAATTCTTCTCTTGTATTCACCTCCACATTCTGCTTGACTTGTGATCGTTACTCCTACCTATCACAAGCCTCTAATGAGGTTATTCTCTCCATTTAATTTAGTATTTTTATTTGAGTTCTGTCAGAGATAATTATCTTCATTACATTTTGCTCTTTAATTTCCCCATTGTGTCCCATACAACATGCAAATAAAACTGTTGATCTCAGTTTCAACAAATACTCACAGAGTTCAGGAACTTTTTAAACACCTTAAGATGCTCTAGTGAATTACCCAGATTCATTTCCTATGCTAATTCACTGAGTCAGAGTCAAAAACATGTCAAGGAAATATTCCAAGAGGAATCAGCAATTAAATGAAAAGCTACTGGACTAATTTGACTAAAGAGCTGTAATGCCTTTAAGTTCCTAAATATCTGTGTTAATTTTTTAATTTACCTGCAACCTCAACCATCAGAAGCTCCATAGGCTCCAGGGATTAAATGCTGCATTCTGCTCACTGTCATCCACAAAAAGTAGTAATGATTAACACAAATGACTCACCAGGAAATCTATGAATTTGTTTCCTGACAAGGTGGATATTGGTACAACTGCTGCACGGATTCCAACCTGAATGGGGTTTACTACCGCAAAGGAGAGCACACCAAGAACATGGATGGCATCACCTGGTACGGCTGGCACGGATCCACCTATTCGCTCAAGAGAGTGGAGATGAAGATCCGCCCAGAGGATTTCAAACCATAGAAGGAATCAACATTTGGTTGTACAGCTATGTGATGTCACCATGCAAAAGGTGGGCAATGAACAGCCAAGTAATTTTTCATTTCATCCAGTACATGCAACAGCTATATACTGGTGGTGTACACAAACACTGCGACGTCAGTCACAGCCACCAGTATTATCAGGGCTCAGGCTTATTTCCTCCTCTTCAGGCTCTTTCCAAAGGGAAAAATATTGTGTTAGAGTAGGTTAGAATTGAATGCACTTACAGCACCTTCAGAAAACCTATGGGTGTGATTTCACTAGCAGTGTGATTAGTGGGTTGCCTTAGTATTATTAACCAGATAGGCAGGGACTGAGAAGCAAAAGCCTCTTGGCTTCCTTTGCTCCAGCACCTGGAGCAAGCCCTGCTGAGCAACTCCTTTCAAGAAATACTCAAACCACAAAAGTTATAGACTCATTTCAAACCAGAGGAATCAATCAGAAGTGTCCCTGATGCACCTTTCTTTAGTGTGTAGTAAGTGGCTTACTTTCCCACAGAAGAAAGAACAAAGCTCAAAAGTGTTGTGTTAATTAGAATTTTCCAGATTCTCCCCTGAAGTTTTACTGCCACCTCCTGCTGCTGCCTCAAATAATCCCCACTGAAGGCTGCCCTGACAGATAGTAATGCTGGAGGAGGATTTGGCCCATGGGTCCTCCAATGTTTATTTCTATCCACACAGATCACCTAAATGCTGATAAAATAGAAAAGCAACTTTCTGGGCTGTCCCCAAATTATGTTCAGGTTATGTCAGTAAAGCTGAGAGTGAACAGCAGGTTAGCCAAAAATGTCCAGACCCAGGCAAAAAACTCAACTCCAACACTTAAAACCACTGTATTCATGAGCAGAACACTAGTCCACACCAATGAATCCCTAAGTGCCAAAAGTTATTTCAGCATAAGGGAATGTTTGCTAAAACAGCAGACTGAGGAGTATCAAAATCTGTTTTGAAAATTACCCCAGCTGGAAGTTACCTAGAGGAAGTCTGTCAAAAATAGTACACTTCTCCCTCACATAACACAGTGTTTAAAGTCAAAAAAGAATGAGACTCCTCCTATAGCCTGACCAATGTTTGAGTATGTTGGAAAAGATTGTTATCATTGATATTATCTATTTTTATTCACCTTGAAGAGAGTTTGCATCTAGATTAGGTTGTTCAGTCCTATGTGAAATGGAAGATAAACGTGTCTTGGGAATTTACATATGTTCAAATATTCATACTGCAAATTTCAATTGTGTGGAACTATTTTAACTGTGGTCTGTAATGGATTTTTAAAGGTTTCTAAAACTTTTTCATTTCTAATAAATTGTTTCATTTTTAAGTGTGCTTTATGTGAATTCTTTCCTCCTTAACTTGCTTTTCGATACACAAAAAAACAACTGCATGACCAAGGAAAAAACACACTGAATTCTGTGTTTTCCTCAATAACATGAGGCAGAACAAAGGGTGAAAAAAAAAATTGGGAAACAATTCCAAACAAGTAGAAGGGTTGAAAAATTCACTGCATAAAGACAAAATTAAGTTTTTGCTCTACCAAAATCAATTTGTTCATCTCAAATAGCTGAACTAACATTTCTGGGATATGGAACAGAGATTCACATTTTAAAACATGTAGTTTAGCACCAAATCCTGTGCAGGTATTCCAGGCTAACATCAGTGTTACTGACAAAGATCAGAAACAACACACACTTTATAATATCTTCTATCTAACATATGAGCAATGAGACCTAGCTAGGCTAAATCAGCAGAATGTGATGAGAAATTTTAATCAACAACTTCAGCTGTTCTGACTTATTTATATGCAGGTGTAGAAATCTGTCTCATTTCACTGGCATCACATTTCATAGTGACCTTGAAGGGTGAGAGGAGGAAACCAGAACTTTTTCCTGGACTTCTTCCTGCAAATCTTCCCTGGGCTTCTATCAAAGTTTTAATCACACCGTAGAAGGACAGAACTCAGCAGTTAAAATTGCACATTTGCAAGTGGTTTAACAACATCTTCTGACAGAGTGAAGTCCTAAGAATTGCCTAGATTAATCCTAATGGTATCTTAAATTGTAGCTGAGGCAAGAGAAGGAATCTCACCAGTTGTGATCCTACCTGATGAGAGACTCTAGAATAGCTGGGGTGGGACCCTTTTGAAATTCCAGCTCTTTGTAGTGAAGGGCCTTAGCATATGCAGCATCTCTACCTTGTCACTGTGCTCCATAAATTCTGCCAAGTTCAGTAGAGTCTGAGTGACTTCTGCAATATCCTGAGAAGTCAAGGCCAGCTCGATGCTCCGGATCAGCTCATCCTGCTGGTCTTCATTCAGTTCAGACCAGCATGAAACAAAAGCAGCATTGAAGAGGTCTCTGGGGAGGAACACAAAACACAGTGTGAGGTGGGGATTCATGAGAAAAAGTCTGTTTGACAGTGGGCTCAACTTCTTACTCAGCTTAAAAATACACTTACATTCCTACCTGCAATGAATAGTGATTAGTTTTTATAAAGGTAACTTCTGTGAAACATTTAATGTAAAAAATACATAGTAGGCTGGTATACTACAATAATAGAAATATTGTACCAGCATATGCTATCAAAGTTTCTCCAAAAAAGCTGATTGCAAAAAGGCACTGCTGTTTATTCCACTCAGAGGCATTTTTGTTCCCTACAGTAAATACTCAAAACTATTTCATACTTTGCTGTTTTTCCAGCTTCACTTATGTGCTTTATCTTATTTCTAGACTAATATGCTGAATTTCAATGAAAGATTTTGTGCACATCATGGAGCAGCCAACTAGCAAGGGTGGAAATGAAATCAAGCTGTTGGCTCTTTGATTTATGCCAAAGCAGGAATTATCTCTATTTATGAAACCTAAGAGCTTCTAAATAACCTTATTTTGTCCTTATAATATCTGGCTTCCATCTGCCATTTCAAATGAGATAAAAATCCAGAAATTCTGTACCGAGCCATGGGATTATAGGCCTGAGCCAGGGCCCAACACGAGCGCAGGGATGGTGAGGAAGAATCTTTCAGGAGCTCCAAACTCAGTCTCCTTAACCATTCCAACCAGTCATCTTTGGAAACTCTTCTTGCTGCTCCCCAGGCCTGCAGTACAAAGGAAGATAATTCACTTACCAAACAAAGCAATATCCAAGAGCAGAATAAATCCACCAGCAGGCAGCATTACCTCTTTACAGCTCCAAACCACATGCTGAGAATCACTTTTCAATTTCCTGAAATCCATTACCTTTACCAGATAATCTGCAGTACTTAAATCTCATGTCTAAGAAATTTTCCCTAAATGTATTCCTGCACTGACATGGCAAGTATTTAACATGAACAGTCCTTTCTCTACAAAAAAATACATGTAGAGCTGAAGTCACTGGTGAAACATCAGCTTAAAAATACTTAGTGCATTTAGAATTACGTTTTTAAGTCCAGCATTTTCACACCAATCCATCCCATTCCTGAACTGTGTGCTGCATGCATGTACTGTTCAAACTACCCAATGCTTAGCTATTAAGTTCTGCCTTCAAGAAAATATAAAACTAAGATACAAGAGGAGCAAAAGCAAAACTATGAAAAAAGGCAGAGGCTCTGAAAAAGATGTCTCTGATAGCATGAGATTATTCATTGTGATCTAGATAGTCTTGTTCATACTTAACAAGCAAGTGTAGAGATTACTTCACAGCCATTAACAGCCTCATGGTTCAAGGTCTCCTCATCTTTAAAGTTGCTCAGCACCATCTGATTTTAAAGAGTCTCAGTACACTACTTTGACCTCAGTTTTGTACAGAATAGAAAAGCAATATAAAAGCAATTAAAATAAATGTAGTCCAGATGCACCAGACAAAACTCCTTCAGTGTGACACATTAGCTCCCTTCACTAGCAAATTCATGCTGTGAAGGCTCCAGTCTTACCTTCTGCAGGTTGATGGTGCTCACATGTAATTTCTTCATGGGACCTGTTTCCACAGGACCAGTGGCCAAAGTTTCCCCCTGGTTGCTTCTCAACATTCGGTGCTGATAAATCAGGGGATCTTCCTCTTCATCAGCAAGAGTGTAACCCTACAACAATTGGTTTGCAGTGAAGATCACACATACAGAAACAATTCTCAACAAGCCAAGAAAGTCAGAGCATTTGCGGCAATATCTTACAGCAAAATCTGTGAAGCAAATAACCATGTTTCATTATAATGATTACACCTTTTAAGCCAGAACTCTCAATGATATCCCTTTGCTACCCAAGGTAACTGTGAAGAACTCTTACCTCCTAGTATAAAAAGCCAAAATAATTACATTAAAACAAGCACTCTTGCCTATTTGACTTGCTAGTTGCTTGTTCCACACAATTTGTAAACCAGTGACAAAATTTTTAAAATGTAAGATATCCCACAGAAAATACTGATATAGCAAGGTCTCCTCAAGTCCTGAAATAATGGAAAAAAATAGGATAAACCCACATTTAAGAACTACCAAGAAAAAGATCAGTAATGACAGTGGCTAAAAGTCTTAAGTTCTTCCCTAGAACTTGCCATGATTTTTCTAAAGGAAAAATTTAGTACCAGTAGACAAAAAAATTGCCCAATGCAACCTCAAAGTCACCTTAAAAAGTTTCACTTAACACAGAAACAGAGCAACAACTACTCCTCATTCTATGAGTAAATCCAGCTGCATCTGGTTCAACATGACAACATCCCAAAAGTGCAAACTGCACACTTGTCAGCTTACCTTTACAATCCTGCAGATGAGAACATCATAGCGTTGATGATTAATTCTGTGTCGCACCAGGACTTTGTTCACCATCGGGATAAAAATTTGGTACTGTAAAAGGGAATGCATCATGAACTTGTTACTCACTGGCACCAAGAGAAGTAAAATTCCATCACATTGTTTCACTGATGAAAAACCAATCCTGACAGTTTGATTTCAGTAACTCCCAAATCCAGAAACAACTAGGAGAGGAAGAATCAGTTCTCTTAGAAAACCACAAACACATTACAAAAATTCAGCTTTAAAGCCTTGACCTTTGGGATAGTCACACCTTCTGTGAGCTTTTTTATTACCTTTTTTCCCAGCTGGAACACCAGAGAGGAGAGGGTGTCCATTGCAGTTGTTCGTAGCTCAGGGCTCTGATCTAGCGTTCGTACGATGGGATGAATAATCCGTGACGCGTAATCCGTGAAATCCAGGGACTCTGTCAAGCGGTCCACTGTCTCTAGAGCAGCTCTTAAATCAGAGCAAGAACAGGGATGAACTTATCTCTCAGAGTGTTAAGAAAGAAGAAATAAGACTGAAAAATACTTAAGTTCTCAGTCCTCCTAGGGTTAATAATAATAGGAAAAACAGGCCAGCTGTTAATGCAGCTGTACTTGCAGGACAGCTCGCATGTGACTAAAATACTGGCAGGTGAGAATCAGAAAATTTTAAAACCCCAAAGAAACAACAACAACAACTAAAACAAACAAACAAACACAACAAAAACCCACCAACAAACCCAAAAAGCTAGTAACACTGCTGTGATGTCCAAACAAAAATAACCTTCTGAAATGATTCAACACAAAAGCTGAGGAAGGGACTAATGGGTATTTCATTGTAAACGTTCAGCCACTGCAGAACTTGGATATCACAGGTGAAACTGCAAAGAGAGAGACTGCAAAGCCACCAGCACTTACTTGCGAGCCACCACAGGAACATCTGGGGCATCAAATAGCTTTACAATGGGAGGTAGTAACAAATGAAGGTAGTCATCCAGGTTAGCTCCAAAGAGCTGGATCGCATTAAGTAGCTGGAGAGAAAAGGAGTAGAATGTCAAGGGGTTTAAACAGATCTTAAAGATCATCTGGTCACAACCCCCCTGCCATGGGCAGGGACACTTTCCACTAGACCAGGTTGCTCAAGGCCATATCCAGTCTGACTCTGAACCCTGCCAAGGTTGGAGCATCAACTTCCCCACACAAGCTGTTCCAGTGTCTCACCACCCCCACAGGAAAAAATTTCTTAATATCTAATCTCAATTTCCTCTCTTTCAATTTGTACCTGTTACTCCTTTTCCTGTCACTACAGCTCCTGACAAAGAGTCTCTGGCTGCCCTGTTCTTTCATATAGTGGGTCTCCATTCAACCTTTTCTTCTTCAGGCTGAGAAGCCCCAGCTCTCTCAGCCTGTCTTCATAGGGGAGGTGCTCCAGTCCTCCTATCACCTTTGTGGCCCACTCTGGACCTGCTCCAACAGTTTCGTATCTTTCTTACATTTAAAACACCAGAACTGTACATAAGGCTCCAAGTGGAGTCTCACAAGAGTAGAAGAGGGAGAGAATCACATCCTTCAACCAAAAGGACCTGGTGTGACTCAAAGTCAGGGATGAGAAACAAGTCAGTATCCAATGAAAAGTGAAAACCCTGCACTTTAAACAACTGTCTGCATCATTTCACACCAAGCCACTGCCAAACTGCACCTGTCCCATTTGACTGTGCAACACACAAGCAAGGAGCCCTGGCTGGGAACCTGCCTGGCCAGTGCCCAAAGCACAGCAGCTGCTGCAGCCCCACTCACCTTCACAGAAACAATTCGACCCTGACTGTTGTCGTGCATGAAGACCCGTAACATGTGAGGAATGAGCTGAGGCAGGTAAAGCTTGAATTCTCCTCCTAGAGCTACCACAATCTGCTCAATAAGTAGGATAATCGTGCTCTGTATGGAGTTGTTCATAACCCAGAAGTCCTACAGAAGAAAGAAAAAAAAGGGGAAAAAATATCCAGTGGTTCTTCAGCTGAGCTGTACCAATTAGAAGAAAGCAAACTGTAGTAGACAGTCTGTAGATAAATTCAAGATTGCAAGGAAGGAATATTTTTTCTTCTTTTAAAACACTGTACACTTCCAGTACATTTACAGTTGTTGAAAACAACCTCTGGAAAACTGATTTTTTTCCTAACCCTTCTAAAAGTTTGCAAACATTTAGTGAAAATGATGTGAAATGACATCTGTTTATGAACTCCAGATATCTCTTGCTAAAACTATGTTTCTCAAAGCACGAAGTGCATAAAATCCAAGCACTGAAAAGAACTCAAGTCACTACCAGAACCTGAAGCAACATTTATTCAGTTACTACCAATAATGTATAGTGTAACTTCAAATAAATGGTATTTCAAAATACAATCATTACTCCAAATATATGTAACTCTGCACTTCAAATGAACTTATGAAGCAATTGATATTTTTGATAATGCATTTGATAAACACTGTCCACCTTTCTGTGAGAGTTAAAATACTGGCTTAAAGATTGGCACTCACTCTCATCAGGGTGACAATTTCATCCATATAAGGCCGAATATGACTTCTCACAAAGGACACCAACATTCCTAGCTGCTGGAACAGGAACTGCAAGGAAGAAATGTGTAATAATCAGTGGAGCTTATCCAAATATCAAAGCCACTGGGTAAAGAGTTTCACAGGCAATAGCAAGCTCATTTATCAAACAAACAGCATGCATAGCTCCTATGTGCTCAAAATCTGGGGCTAAACTCTTGGCAGCTTTAGCTCAGCAGTTTGGGTTTTTGGTTAATTTTAATTGTTTTTTTATGAAGGGAGTGGGGAAGAAAAACGATTTGGGGTTTACTGGCTGGTTTCCCCCCAGCTTTCATAACAAAATTTGTGAGACTCAAGCACACAAACAAGGCTTTATAAAGTGCCAGCAAATCTACAGTGTTAGAACAGACTTGTAAGCTCAGACATGTCAATTACAGAGCACCATAATTTAGGTTTGAAAGATGCTTCCAAAAACTTAGCCCCTATTTTTTTCCCTTTGCCTGAAAAGCAAACTGACACACATTTTAAGATATTCATGTATTCTTTCCTATCCCCATCAAGATATATTGGTGAAAAGTTACTGGGGAATGCAGTTAGGTCCTTGCCAGAAACACCACATTTTTTTAAAAGATGGTTGATTGCACCATCCACTCTTCACCACCAAGAATAATTTTGACTTAGAAAATTTTATTTGGATACGCTACGACAGTTTTGCAATTCCTTTCACCACAATACAATCTTCAACATTCAATTGTGACAATGAATTTACTCTTTAAATTGGTTTGAAATCACATGGGCTAAATTGCTTTGAAGTAGATTTTCTCTACAAAAAAACAGGAAAATGTAAGTTATCATCTATTAAATTTCATTTTTTCATGCAGTTTTTGAAGACAAGTGACAAAACACAACATGGAGCTCATAAAAAGAGATAATACTTTCATGAGAAAGTGTTAAATAAGAAATAATCTCAGCTTCTTTAGTGAGAGATAATACTTTCATGAGAAAGTGTTAAATAAGAAATAATCTCAGCTTCTTTAGTGAGAATAGTACATATACATATACCAAAAATTAAGTCTGAGCTCCTGTACTTTTTGGTGTAGTAAGAGGATGCTTAGAGGACAAGGACCTCTTTTAGGCTTTATGTCACGCATACCCACCTCAGCTCTTCTCCCCAGTACACTTTCACCATCTTCTTTTACCTGAAAATTTTTAAACAGAGTGTGCACAACTGCAGAGCTTTCAAGCAAGTCAGATCAGCCAGGTCTAGAACCTCAGCCAACCCAGATGTGTGATGTTTTCCTTGCAGTCTGAGTAGTAGTTCAGGCTGGGAGAAAACAGCAGTTCCATGGCAGAGTTGGGGCTCTGCTAAGGGAGCACCCATCCCACCTACACAACACAGCAGCAGTGACAAGTAAAAACTGCCCTTCACACCCCAGAGCATTTGACTGCCTGAAGAAAAGCCTTGGCAAACAGCAGCCATCTCTGGTTAGGTGAACCTTAAGCCCATCATCATCTTCAGACAACTCTCATTTCCTTCTGTAACTGTAACTTAAGTGGGAATGAAGAGAAAGCACTGCTGTGGAATCACCACCCATGCTGCTCTAAGTGTTAGCAGCCTGTATCAAATTGAGTTTTCCTTCTCAGAGATGAGCCAAAGTACATGACTTCACCAGAAATTTGGAGAATCTACCCCTATCATTTAATAATATTGTTTGCCAGACTATTAGCACAGAGAACATTGAAAGATCTGGAAGCTGCACAGGTGTTTTCCTGAACATGAACAGCTTGATGAAAACACAGAATCAAATACTGGCCTTCCAAGGATTATGCTCAGAAGCAGCTGTTTCAATAAAAAGCAGAAAACTTGTTTGCAGTGGACATTCCATTAAATGCTTACAAAAGGGAAAAAGCAAAGCTGAACCTCACTTCTGCAGCATGCTTGGCATCAACACATAGCACAGCAATGCCCAAAGCCAGTCACAGTCTCTTCAAGGAAACGGATTCTTAATTTCATACAGTGGAACAGGAAGAAGGAGTGGTCCCTGGCACACTCACCTCTCGGATGGCACCATCACACACCCGTATCACGTTAAGGAACGTTGGCATGACCTGGGGCAAGAACTGCACACACTTCAGTCCAAGGGATTTGAAAATAAAGGTGATGGCCTGAACTACCATAGTGTGGTGTTGGGACAGGGATTGGTCTCGGAAAATTCTCATCAGTGCCACCATAGACACAGCTGGGTAGAATTCATCCAGAGGGAGGTTGCCCATATTCACCAACATCTCACTGGTGCTGTAGTCAGCTAGGAGAAAGAAGGCAGAGTCATGAGCTGGGTATTAAATGGTCTTGAATATGGGTTCAGGAACATCTAAGTGTAAGTTGAAAACATGTACATTAATGATTCTTCAAGAAGAGGAGACAAACTGGTGACAAAATAGTCAAGATCTGTTTGTAGATCATAAAGATATCAATCTGAAAGAAACTGAGATGCTTACAAGAATCCTGGCTGGACTTGGACTCAGAGAGGCTAACAGCTGAAGCATCTCGTGATTGATCAATCATGCCAATGTTCACTTTGTGTTTGTAAGGGTCCAAAGCACCCAGCAGCCCTAACACACGAATAGCCTGAAAAGACACAAAGAAAATTCACCACAACTTCATCATTAAGGCCAAAGACAACACTCAAACCCCCATATCTGAAAAGATCCTGATGATTTAAGAGGGAAGATCTGGAGCTGAAATGAGTGCCTGGAAAAAACAGTGCTTTCCATCTAGCTTCTGCAAGCCATTTCACTGACTTAACACATGCATTCTCTTAATTCTGCTTACTGTATTCTGCTCAGCCACAACAATGATCTCTCCCTCCCTGCCTCAAATCTATGCAGGCACATTTATTTGGCAGCTCTCTCTTCCCAAAAAGCTTTTCTAAGTGGTTGTGTGATAGTTTCATGTTCATACCTCTCTGCGGGTGCCCTGATTTTGCTCAGTCTTGAGGAAGTTCAGAAGCACTTCCAGCAAAGTTGGGTACTTCCTGTATGGTTCTACCACATAACCAGTGCTAGCCACAAGCTGCCCCAGTGTCCAAAGAGCCACCTACAAAGATAAAGACCAGAGAAGATTAGCTTGGACCAGGGAATTTATTATGCCTTCTGATACATCAGTCATTCAACTTCTGTAAAGCTTCTTTGAGCATTTTAGGATCACACTGCAAACCACAGTCCATGGTTGGAAAGCCTCTATAAAGAACATTTTCCTATAAACAACAATAAAGAAATTAATAATCAACAATATCTTAGGCTGTCACAATTGCTTTCACTCAGAGATACAATTCAAATAAACATTCAATTCAAGTGAGTCCAAGCCTTCCAATATAAACAGCCTTTTTTTTTTCCTTCTTGTTTTTCCTCTAACAGCTCTGAACTATGTCACAACAGGCACTCTTATCCCTCACCTGTGTACCGTGAGTGTAACTCCACTAGAGGGACCTGGGACATGGATATTTTATTACAGCTCTGGTCACAGCAGCAGTCAAGTCTGGTTCAGTTGTAAATACTTACTTGTCTTTTAGCCAGAAGAGAAGAGTCCTGTAGCATGTCCATAATTATAATGAAGAGCTCATCCACCCACTTCCTCATCTCCAGCCCACTGACCTATTGAAAGACAAAAATTCATCCTTCATCTAGCATTCCCAAAACCTTAACAAACAAGGCAAAAAGGTATCTGTGATGTATCCCTACCTGTGCAAGCTCCCCTATGGTAGCCAGGACATTGTTAATCACACCTGGATTGGGATCTGGATCAGGATCTTTCAGTTTCACAATCAGTGCCTGGTGGGTGGACAGTGGGACAAATTAGAACATGTTCAAAGAGTACTCAAAATTATCTTCCCTTTTGTTTACACCTGAAATTGACCCCACAATCATAATAAGAATTTTAACAGTAAAAGAAACTTGGGCGTCACAAATGCAAATCTGGAATTAAATTGGGCTAAACTGTCAGCCACGTGTGTTCCTGTGGGTAACATCAACATCAATCTGGTTTCTTTCCTGCCATGATGAAGCAAAAGAACTGCAGCTCCTGAGGGTCATGTACCCACTTGCTGTGTCACCTCATTCCAAAGTCAGCAGGAAATGTAGAGACTCTACCTTAAGGATAGGCTCCATATATGGACGGATGAGGCGTGGAGCATTAGAAACCAGGTGACCCAGCATCCTGGCACTTTGCTCTTTAATTCTGCCAACACCGCTGTGTTCCAGCTCTGTTAGAATCTGCACAAGAGACAATGAAAGCAGGAGAAAAAAAGTTAGGTAAAAATTCTTTGCATTTCCTTCTGTCAAAACTCAGCACTTGTAAAGGCTGTTCTGCATTTCACTTCATTATCATTTCTCCTAAGCTAAAATTACTTAGCATAAAAGGGATGGCTCCAAAATCTGTGTTTACAAAGAGGTACCACGCGTTCACCTAAAAGCACCACAGAACATTCTTCCTCAACAGAGATGGAAAGCACTCCAGCATGAGGACTAGGGGTGAAATAACAACTGCCATCCTTCCTTTCCCTTCTAATACATCCATACAGCTTCAGTCCAAACATCTAAAATGAGAAAGATCTGTTGAAACCCATTAATCTAGGCATTAACTATTTTCAAAAAGAGATCAATTCCTCCACTCTCCATGCATTTACAGCAAGATAGCCCAGTTCTTTACCACCACCTTGGTCTGAATATCAGTTCCTCTGTTTTCCCTGCAGGCATCCCTCCTCCTTACCTGGATTAGCATCTTTCGAAGGAAAGGCATGACAAAGGCAGGGTTCATGCTGCTCAGGCGCCCCACAGTGCAGATGGCCAGCTCACGTATTTCAAACACCTGATCATTCAGGGCCACAAAAAGAGCTTGCAGGTTTTCAGCCTGGGCGAGGTGAGCATCAAACCGCTCATCCAGGGAAGCCAACACGCAGAAACGTATATCAGGGTCTGCAAGAACACATTGATTTACCTTTAAATGCACTAAATTCCTCTTCCTTTTTTTGCCTTTGTTCACAAAACAGCCTCAAAAATTTTTCACAAGAGCTTCCCCAGAGCAAGAAACTATATCAGTGCTCCACACATAAAAAACAGGACAGATCAGCCTAGAAATCTCCTTAACATGCCCCAATAACCAAGTCAGTATAGTGCCAACCTCTTGCACCTGCAAGTGTCACTTTTGGATGTTATGTGGCAACCTGAGGCGAGTTCAATTGAAAGAATAAAAAAAATCAAGTATGAAGTTTCAACAAGAAGTACCAATTTCTTCCCAAACTACAAAATTTAAGGCCATGACCCAGAGCAGCATCAAAAGGGGTCTCACTGTTCTACTTAGTTCAAAGGATTACCAAGGACACAGCTGGAGCATTTTTCACTAGTGTTCTATTAATACCTCGAAAATCAAGATGTGGAAAAAAGAAATTGGGAGACTTTTTTTTCTAATTTACCAAGAGTGACAGCTTAAGTTTAGTGGCAATTACATTCAAATTCTATTACAAATTCTATTTCTATTCTTAATATTATCACCTGCTTACATGATAAAATTAACAGGGGTAAGAGAACCCTTTTCTCTGAATCCCACACTAACCTGGGTCAGTTATTCCAACTACAAGCAGCTTGCTGAGGACATCAGCTACAACCTGAACTGCTGTCTGACTGACCACATGGGCATGGCCACTGATCAAGTGGATGGAGGGCGTGAGCAAGCGAGAGCAAGTGCGGGCTGCTTCCATCCGGATCTCCTTGTGTTCACTGTTCAGGAAGTGATCGGCGCAATGCCGAACAAACTGAGTCAGGGAGTGGCCTGAAAAGAGAAAGATGGGTGGTTAAGCACAGGTTTGCATTTCAATTACCAGCTTTATCAAGGAACAGGAGTTTAAAGAACATGCTCCTAGAATTTTCCTGCTACTTGTACTCTGCTCCAATGCACCACTTGTTTATATCCCACATGCCCTTGCCCGCTGCTTCCTCATTTCATCTTACCTTCAAACTCAAAGCTACCAAGTGTACGAAGGGCAAGGGTGATGCTCCCCACATCACTGGCTTCTGGGATATTGGTGAGACTGGGGGAGGCCAGCTGGTGGGCAAGGCCTTTTGGCATGCCTGGATGTCGCAGAGGCTTGTGCATCAGAACAAGAGAGAGCATTTTCAGCAGCCCATCCTGGATATCCTTCTTCAGCTGAGGGATCTGACGGCTCAAGTCGTACAGCACAGCTGTTAGAGCAGGGCTGAGGGCAAGAAGCAAGGAGAAGTCGTTAGAAAAGAAACAATGATGTGCATATTTCACCTTTTTGTTTAATTATGCCTTTGCCAATCAGAATATAATTGTGGGAATTCACATATGAGAGCAACACCTGCAAGCAGAGCACAGGGTCCCTGTGTGAACTGAGGCACAAGATGACCTTCCTGCATAAACTTGGTCCTGAGCAAAGCCCCAGGACTGCTGCACACATCATTACATTAGCCAGTGTTGCTATAATACAAATCTAAATGACTTCTTACACTTATGCTTTTTAAACAAAAAAGCAACTGAATTCACTTCCAGGTGACAATATAATTTCAACAGCCTTGTGCTACCTGAAAATTGTCTCCACACCTTTCCATACTAACAACTTAATTAATTCCCCCAATAAAAACTGTCAGCTACAAAGGTGAAAGAAGCCAGAAGCAAATATTCAGCACTTCAGCTTTCCTCTGCCAGTTTGATATGGCACAAGCCTGCTGGCTGTCAGATGCTTTCAAAAATTTTGCAGGTTGCTGCCAAATGTGTTTGAATAGTGTAAAATAAAGGAGACTGCTTTTGGACTAGTTGTTCTACAGGATTTCTTTACTGAGATATGAATTCTCTTAAATAACAGACACATTAACAGTTAAAACATACCATTCTTCTGAAACAGCTATAGTGATCTTCTGAAAAGATCACTGAAATGCAATAATGTTCCTTCTCAATCTGAAAACTTTAAAGATCTCACTCACATCCTGCAGCTAACAGCAGAACAGATTTATGCTTACCTCAGCCCCACAGCCAGCATAGGTTCCAAAAGCTCTTTGATGTCCTGCTGGATACTGGGTCCCATGGCTCGTGCCAGCATGCTAATGCAGGTGAAGACTGTGGCATCAACCTGCACAGACTTCTGTCTCCTGGAAAGGGACCACATAATTATGAGAAGCTGCTGTTTTTAGACATCTTTCCTCATCATACTTCTGTGTTATCAGTGTTACAGAAATGCTTCTGATTTTAATACAAGAATTAAAGAGCAAGTGTTTCCATTTCTTCTCCTAACTTTCACATACTTACTTGTGGGCAAAGTCCTTTGGGGGAAGAGCTGCTTTTATGATTTCAAGGACTTTTGGTAGGTAAGCTTGAAACTCAGACCTCACAGCCACAGAAAGCAAACCCAAGGCCTGGAAGGCTGCTGTTCGCTCCTTCTCCTTCTTCACACAACTGAGAACATGATTCATGGTGTCTGGAAGATACTGATCAGCTGCCCACAAGAGAAAACAATACAGATATTAGAATTCATTAAGGTTTATACAGCTGTATAACATTACCAACTAAACCTTTACAAGTGTCAAACTAGAAAACAGACATAGTCATGTTAAGTTTGCTGACATGATCAGTGGCAAAAATGTCACGATATAATAAGAATGTCAAACTACAGAAGGCTTTGTTTTTAAAAAGAAAAATCACCACAATAAAAGATCTATAAAACACCCCCACTGCAACAGGTTTTATACACATATGAGATCCAACCATCTTGCTTTCATAGTGACTGGGTGGAAATTTGGAATAATTAATATAAAAATTGTTCCAACTCACTAAGAGCAGCTTGGTGACTTGTCTCCAACTCTGATACTCCCCTGAACTTGCTTGATAAATCAACTAAACTGCCTTAAAGCTGCCAGGTATTTCCTAGCACATGCAACAAAGAAAAAAGAAGAGAACTCTAATAATATTTGGGGTATACTGAGTCAGAGCAAGAGAGAATTCTCCTCTAAGTGTGACATATTGAGAAGAAAACAAGAAAAAGGAGTTTTTTATGTCTTATGGTATTGATCACCAAATTCTCACAATAGGTTTCAATCTACTTTCTTCATCAGAGCAACATTTTGGCACCAGCTATCAAATCACACTTATTCAGAAAATAAGACTGTCCTCCTACAGAGGAATGTCATCAGACAAGCACTACATTTGGCGTACTGCACTGCTTGCACAAGTTCATCTGGACCAAAGAGAGCTGGATAACTTCCAGCCCAAAATCAGCAACATTTCTAACATCCAACCATCTGTCTTGTCACCTGTGAATGCCGAAGGACGGAAAGCTGCCAGCCGCGGTAGCAGATTGAGAACAGTCATCTGGATCAAAGAATTTTTGCTGGTTCTGCACTTGAGAACCCACTGGCAGACCTGGAAGGAAATAGATTAGGCTTTAAAGGATGGCCATTGGCAGTAATGCACAAATGTTAATTACCTGTGTGCTTTTAGGCATTCTACTGACATTTGGCTTCAGAGTCCATCAAAGAAAAGGATAATCAGGATTTCTTCCAAAGGAAGTAAATCACTTGCCCCAAGACAGACAATGACAAAGCCACGTTACACATTTTGAAGGCTCAGTTCAATACTAGTATTGCCTGCTAAGTGAAAATGCAGAGGACAATTACTCTGCAAGAACAGATGCTGAGAATGTTGGGAGACAAGCTGAAGAACAAACACATACCTGATCAAATTTCTCTTCCATTAGATCCCTGCAACATCGACTTTCTACCAAAGTAGATTTTGCTGGGACAGGTGAGGTTGCAAAACCCATAATTCCTTGGTGAGCACTGTACCCCAGAAGACCAGCCAAAGCATTTGACTGAGAGGGCTGAAGAGACTGAAAGCTTGTAAAGGGAGTGATGTGGCGAGGCTTGGTACTGAAGCCCATCAGGTCTTTGCAGTACTTGTCATGCACAAGCTGCTGTTGAGTGATTTCTTCCATCTCCTCTCTAAGGCGCTGGACAAAGTAGAGAAGCATTAAAAAAATAAAATCTAACTGAGTAAGATACTGCCAATACAATCTCCTGAATAAGCATCCTGTATAATCAATATCCAAATGTCTGTAAAATATCAACTGAGTAAAATCCAGCAAAAATATTTGGGTATCTAACATGCAAGAGAGTACTCATTCCATATAAAAAAAATCTTTTTCATTGTATTTAATCCAGATAATAGCTTTTATATCAGAGCTTATTAACTCCTCTGCCCATACTTGTCCCTTTTATTTCTGACACACTTTAATGCTTGACTGCATGTTCAAATGAGTTTTCCATCCAACAACCCCACTGCAACACCATGGGATATTTCCACAGACTGCAGAGTTGCTATACACTCTCAATCAATCCCCACCTTGTTCCTTTGCTCACCTCTCCCTCCATACTGCTGATTCTCACTAGCTCATTGAGGATCAGTAAGGCACCATGGATTCGGTCATCACGATTCATTCCTTTCTCTTTGGCCAAAGTCTCATCAAAGCCCTTTTCAGCCTCTTCATATGTGTGCTTGGGGGAAAAGAAAAAAAATCTCAGTGACAATGCAGAAACAAAGCCTGTGGAAATGAAGTACTACTGCCAGTCAAGAGTTTCTGATGCTCTGAATTTTCCAAGAGTAGCCACAAACTTCAACTGAGTAATAACAGAAGTATAAGACAAAAAAATTCTGGTTCACCCAGAAGTTGTGCACTCTGCTGCAGAGCATTTTCAACAGCACAAATCAAACAGCATGGTATCAGCTTCATCACTACCTGCAGCACTTAATTTGATTACAAGAAATCCAAGTTCACAACATTTGACTGCGCTGTCCAAAACTTACTTGATATCACAAAGCATGAATTCATGTGACAATGGCAGCAAAGTAAAGGTTCAGACAAAAGAATTCTTACCTTTCTCACTTGTGTTTTATCTACACTAATAAAACCCTCTGCTAAGTAAGAGATGAAACTGGATAATTGCATGGCCATAAAACTAGGTCAAGTTCAACAGCTCAAGATGAGGTGCAGCTAGAACAATGTATTCTTGAAGGAGTTAAATCTTGTTTACTTTTACAGTAGTAGGCTAAAGGAATTACTCACTTTGGAAGCCATAATATTTTCAGTCCTTTCAAGGACAGGGACTTTTTTACTGATAAAGGTGACATGAGTTCTTATGTTAGCCAGCTCTTCTGAAAACTGGCACTTCAACATCTGCACTGCATTATGAGGGGCTGTATCACCCTGAAACTAGAGCCTTCTGATTGCTTAGAACATTGGTTATTTTCTTTGCTATTTTCCTTTTGATTGTTTAGAATATTGTTCATTTTCTCTGTTCATTTTCTTTTTCTTTTTTTTACTTTTTTAAAGAAGAAACAGTGAGTTGTCACCCTGAAAAATAAGCCTTCTGATTTTGTTTTCATAGTTTTAGACACTTTCCCAGGAAAGTAACTATAAACATAAATGTTTACACATTCCTTCTAAGAAACGTCTTTTCATGGACATTTCACATGATCAGTGTGATTAGGAAGGTAGTAACTTAATTATCCAACCCCTGGTCATTGTCAACAATCTGTAAATACTGGAATAAGGAAAATAAAAACTCTCCTTTTTCTATCACACCACTGAGACGTGTTTGTGTGAATCATTCCATGTCCTGCAGTGACAGGGCTGCATCAAAACAAATTATTTTCTTACTCTGTACCACTGGGGCTTCTGCATCTCTTTTGGCTCGCGTTGCGTGGTGAGGATAAGGCAGGCTCTTAAGGCAGAGACAGCTCCCTCTCGGATGGCCTGTTTGGGATCCCACACAGCCACAAATATGTTGTCAAAGAATGGCTGCACTTGTTGGAAGAAGAAGGTAGGCACACTGATTGCCAACTCCCGCAAGACAAGAACCTGGAGGTGGGGAGAGAAACAGTTACAATCTGGAAGATAAGACACAGAGACAAACCTCCTAACTTTTACAGTGTAGTACCATTTGTTTAGACTGTCGATGTTTGTGAGCTGTTTCCATCCCCACACTCTGACAATTCCTAGCATGACAGTGTCTTGGTCTTCATTAGTCACTGAGCTAATGGAGAAGCAATGAAGCAGCACTCTGTCTGCCATGAGAGCATTACAGATTCTCAGACATGCACTGGCAGCCATTCCCATCCTGACCAAAGCTTTTCTGCAGATTTCTGTGCAGATTTCCAACCACTGCTCGCTAATCCCAACTATCCCATGACAACAAAGAAGGCATCACTTACAGCTGCATGTCTACGACCTTCATTCCTGTCAGCTCCCAACCATTCCAGAGCTCGTTTCACCTCGAACTCCACATACTCAGCTGTGAAGGTGTCACCAGCCATCGCAAGCCGCCCGATAGCCTTGGAAGCCATCTCCATTACCACAGGGTCATTGGATGGCAAGAGGTTCCTCAGGTAGTTGGCAAACCTGCCGATACGGGTGGCATTACCTCCTTCAACACCGATAAGGCTTGCTGCAGAGAAAGGGAGCAGTGCTGCATTTCTCCCCAAGAGTCAGTGAGGCAGACAGCAGGTAATCCCTGGATGAGAGCTAATATTCCCTACACATTCCTTAAAGATTCCCATTAAGTCCTCCTAAACTGCAAATCCACAGGGGAAAAAAAAATAAAACAAGTGACAGGAAAGGGCCACCATTCTTTTCAGCCTGAACTTTTTAAGTGAGTGGAAAACTGCATCTGATGGCCTCATAGATTTTCCCCATTTTTAGTTTTAAAAGAGGAAAAAAATAATTCACCCTGATACAGACCTGTTCCTAATAGAAAGATATCCATCTTCAGGCAACTGCTATAGCTAGTCCATCTCACAAGAAAAGTCAAAGACTGAATGGACCAAGGAAATGCTCTCCTCCTCAGTCCTAGAGACAGCCTCTCCTGCCCAGGGTGGAGGCACTTCATCAGGCACCAGCATGGCAGAAAGCTTTCATTGCCAGTGCCTGGGTTTTAACTGCTCTGTAGATAAAGACCCCTCAGTGTTGTCAAGCTGGCACCCTTCAACATCACTAAATTCACAAAACAATTTGAAAGTGATAGTCAGCTTAAGATCTGATGTTATCAATAAAGATTTCTCTAAGGGATTTAGACTGCCTTCAAACACATTGGGACTGGATGATTACGTCTATGAGCCTAGACCATAAACATCTATTTAACTGCTACAACACAGGCCACTCACCTGAAGGGCAAAGTATTCACACAAGCTAACTTCCCCAAGAATGGGGATTCAGGCAGCTCTGCAATCTCACAGAGAACACACAGCCAGAGCCACTAATGGAGAGGCTGATCAGAATCAAAGCAGCAGCTATGTGAGCCCCTCTCGGGGATGGAAGTTGCTGTTATGGAGCCAGGTAAATTTAAATAACAAGAATCAATCTGCCCAGATGGAAGAGAGTTGAGAAAGTCAGCCAACCCTAATACATATAAAGGGGCAGCACAAAGTGTTCTCAGCTGAGCTCCAGAAGAGAATTTTCATGTGCTCAGCACTCACATATGATGCTGAATTCCCACAAGAACTAAGGACCCATTAAGGACCAGGTTTTCAGCCACCCTCAGTAGCTCCCAGGCTGACATTTCACACAGATTTCCAGAGCCCAGCAACTAGAACACACCCAGTGTACTGAGCTGTCAGGCCCCAAGAATAAAAGCTAATTCCTAAATCTGTCCCTAAAGATAATTGCATGAAAAGAAAATTCAGCAGAGGCATTATGCACTTTCACTCACCTATAGCCAGAATGCCACCTTTCCTTTCATTTGCATCAGAGCTAGAGACCAGCTCAAATATGTGATGGTTCAGCTGATCATAAAACCTGGTAGATTCTTCCTGACTCATCTGTAAAAACAAAAAACTCAAATCAGCTTTCAGCATTCCCTCCCTTCCTCCTGCTCCAAAACCTCCATAAAGACAATGCTTCTTATGCCACATAAACAGAAAGAAATTAAATCAACCATACATTATGAACTCAAAATAGTTTCTCTTATTTGTGACCCATATGCAGCAAGTTTACTTATTCTGGTACTTGACTACCTGTTTGTGTCACCAACTTGCTCACCTCTCCTACATGCCAGGGGGCAAAAATAAGCTCCCTGCTGTGCTCCATCTCCTCTCTAAGACCAGCTTCCATATTCCAAAAAAACTCCATTGCCAAGGCACCCAGCCTCACATGATACACAAGGATAAATAATCCCATTCCTAGCACTCACCTCACGCAGCTCCATGGTGACATAATGCTGCAGGTCCTTGGCAGCCTTTGCCCTCGTCTCTTCGCTGCGACTCTTCAAGCCATTGGCAAATTGTTGGAGGATGGACACAGTGCCCGACATGGTGGTAGTACACTGGGGCTCAGAGGCATCAAGTCCTGTAAATTCTTCAGAGACACACTTTTTTTTACTACTTGAATTGAAATCTCTGAGCTTCTTTCTTAAGGCTGTCCCCCCTGACTGTTCCCAAAATACAGATGAAGATGCTGTGTCGGTAGACTATAAAATTACAAGTAATGACTATATTCCTTAGGCATTACACTCCATGACAAAACTGCATCACCACATATATTGACCAGCCTATTTGGTCTCTGGTTCCTTAAATACCAAAATACATTGCAGCCATCTGCTTCATAGTAATCTAATCCTAAATCAAGGATCATGCAACAGCTAAAAAACAGCAGGGTCAAACTAAGGTTTGCAATTACCTATAATAAGCAAGTAGAACCATTCCCAGGATTATATCATTATCATATCTGACTCCTCCCTAAACACTTTCATCCAAGTTTCTCCACAGAAATCTCAGTGTTACACCAACACAAGGAAAACTCAGCACTGGCAAGTGTTGCATCCTCTAATAGATATTTAGAGATGGGAAGTCCAGTTATAGCAACACTAATCATTGCGACAGATTGCAACAGGGGGTTTCCAAGCATAACACATAAACAAACTTTCTCAGGAGTCTTTCTTTATATCAAAAAGATTCCAGATGCTTGACGCGCCCCCCCGCTCCGAGATTCAAATTATGTAAGACCAAAGCAAGCACTGACACTAGAACTTCAAGTGCTTCTCCCGAAATATTCCACACGCGATCACAGACATCCAGCAGGACCATAGGTGAGGTGGCTGCTGGCAGGAGCTAGGAGAGGCTCCCCGGATCAAAGAGCAGCCGGGAGCTGCTGCTGCCCATCGCCCCAGCCCGGTGTCAGTTCCTGGGATTCCCTCACGGCCACAGGAGCCGGCGGACAGGACCCGGCAGGCCCGAGTCCGGGGGGGAGCTCCGCAGGCCGAGAGTGAGGGAGGGGTGAGGCGGGGAAAGGCGGGCACGGCCGGAGGGGCCGCAGGCGGCAGCGCCGCGCGGCCTGGGGCTCGGGTAGGTCGGCCCGGGCAGGAAGCGGGAGGTGAGGGGAAGGGGAGCCGATGATGATGAGCAGCAGCACCACCGCTCGCTCGCTCTCTCTCT